CCCCCCCAGGCCGTCAGGTCGCCTTCTGTTTAGGACCCGCAGCAGAACAGGATGCAGGCTGTCTAAATGTCGACGTTGGGGGTAAGCGTGTGCATGGCCAGGTAGCCCAGCCAATGGTGGGGGGGGGGGATGACAGGATTTGGCCCATGAAGGGGATCAGCAGGGACTGGCGGCTTGGCACTGGACAACGCCCAGGATTTTGGGCACATGCGAGCAGGTGGCCGCTGTGACGTCTGGGCCCTCGCTGGTTGCCACGACAATGCCGGCCTGGCTCATGGCAGATCGATCGCCGGTTTATTTTTACGCACCCCCCCCCCTCGCCAAACAATGCAGCCATGCTGATCATCGCTAGGATGAGGCCCATAGCCTTCAGCTAATGCTAACGCCCGCCGTTTGTAAATAACGCCCGTGGCATGAGACCCACGCCACGCTTCGCCAAGCCGAGATGTTCCTCTAAAATCCTGCACCCGCCGCACGGCTCAGCCACTCTCCCTCTGTTAGGCTTTCTGGTGACAGGTACAGCAGACTGGGAGCTCTGTCCAACCCCCCCCCCCCCCGCCTCCACACAGCCCAGAAAGCCGTTAATTATGCAGCTCCAGCATATGGTTCATAATAAAAACCTTCAAAAGTTCTAATTTAATTTATGCCGTGCATCTTCTGCTCTGAATCATTTAATTAAAGCCCCACAAGCTACCGTGCCTGATTCTTCCCCGCGCGGCGATTAAGGCTGTCCGTACGGGAGACACGCACTTTGTTTTGTTTGTTTTCTGAATGAACGAATGAACGAATGAACAAATGCGGAGTGGAAAATGGTTAAAATGGTTAGGGGCTGCGTCACATCCGGCTCCCTGACGGAGACTGGTAACAAGCGTCCCAAATGGCAGCCTTTGTTTTGCTGGCATACAGGAATGCAAATAAGTAATTAGAGGGGCCCTTGATTGCATTCTCCATCAGACAGGGGTTGAGGGGGGGGGGGACTCTGGCAGATTGGTCGTCTTCACACCTCAGCAGATCCGACCCCCGCCACGCGCACACACACTCCCAAATGCGCCGTGTGAACAGGGCTGTTTTACAGCGTCGTATTTCACAGGGACGGGCCTCTCCTGAACACACACACGCTAGATGGGCTTTTTATCGCTTTGGCCAGATCTGATCTGTGGTCAGCTCTCCGGGGAGTCTGGGGCTGAGAGCTTGCAGTGTAGACCGAGGCTGCTCCTCAGATTAGATTAGATTAGATTAGATTAGATTAGATTAGATTAGATTAAGTTAGGTTAGATTCAGCTTTATTGTCATTGTACAGGTACAATAAAATGCATCTTAGCATCAAACCAGAAAGTGAAAATGATACATTAAAGTGCAATAGACAGTATGGTGCAATAAGGCAGCATGCAAATGAGAAATGTGTCTATATCTTAAGAGTAGAATAGAACAAGGGAGAGTATATAAATATAAATACTGATCAGTTTGTATACATGTAAGATATAGTTATATGAACTATTTTTATGTACAGAACAGATATATGTAAAGAGGTTAATGTACATATAGTGCAGCCAAACGTTATTGATATTTCGAAAGGTCAGTTGAGTGGGAAGGGTTGAGAGTTCTGAATGGTGATGCCATCGTGAAAATGTTTGTTTGTTTTGTTCCCCTTTTAACAGGAGAGCTCTCCCTCATTTGTTCCCTGTTCCGCTACTGGATTACGGACATCCTTCCGGCGTCTGGAAAACAGACTGCACAGACTTCATAACTTATCCTGCTCGTGGTGAACACAGGGGTGCCCCCTGTCAGTAAGACTACAGTTACCTCGCTGATTACTCTGGTTAGTAATTGAGCTCTCTCTGTGTAAGTAAAACGTTTCATAGTTATGGTTTGTTTGCTCTGTTCTCTGCCCTCTGAATTCTCCCTAAGGGCGTTTCTCAGTTTGCGCGCTTGACCGCTGTGTTCTCGCGTACCCGTTAACCGTCATCTTCCATTGCTGAAGACCAGTTCTATTTCTAAGAACAAATATGAAGCATACTTCGGTTGTATCCTCGCTGAACGAGACCAATCCCATGATTCATTGCACCCCAAGTTCATTCTTGGGGTTAGAAAGACTGGTCTCGTCAAGACCACAAGTACGATCTTTGTGTTCTTGGGATCGAGAAACACCCAAAGTGTTTACAAATTGTAAACGGCTCCTTCCAAACCCATCTCCTGTATCATCCCCACCTTTGTGTATGTCGTTTTATAGCATAAAACCCACCTTTGATTAGAGAAAAGCTTCCTCGTCCCTCATTGGTGGAACTGTACGTTACCAGTGTCCCATAATCCTCGTCACATGTCTGAGTGTCAGACGGAGGGGCTTCGGCAGAATGACCCTTTTGTTTATGATCCTTCATGGAGCCCCGTATTTGCCTGGAGCCACCAGTAATCATGGCATCGTGTCAGGCTGTGTTTATGAGCCGCTGTCTGGAGTGGACACCGTGATGCCCAGGGCCACTGTGACGCACCCAGAAGCCCACTTCTCCTTCGTTAGATGAAGAGCTTGGATTCCGACGGGCAGCAGGAGCGTGACAGGATGTCACAGTCGCCTTTGTCCTTGGCCGTCATCCGGGCAGGAACGTCAGAACCAGGCCGCCGGGGCAGACCTGGAAACGGCAGCCGTGCCACTTGGCTTCTTGTTCCCTGACTGTCACACACGCCCAGGCCTGCGTCTGTCACCTCCGCGCCGGGCCGTATTGTTACCGAGCCACAGGTCCTCCAAATTTGCCTGGCTCCTGTCCCTCCTGCAAAAGTGACTAATAAGCCCCATGCGTTTGATGGCGGGATCTCGCCATTTGCAAAAGATGGAACGCCCTGTGGAGGAGGGGCAGAATACACATTTACACCCCCCCTCATCGTTAATCATCACCGCGTTAATTGGTGGACTTGGTTGAGCAAATTACCTGAACACTACCTCTGTGGTCAGATACTCTCTGCTGGGTGAAATGGGGTGACCTCCCTGTGCGACGGCAAGAGAAGCTGGATGGAGACGGCAGCCCGTCGACACGGAAAGCTGACGCTCGGAGTACGGAAACGCAGACGAGGCGGCGTGAGCGAGCTCTTAGCGTGAAAGACTTTCCCAAATTCGCTGCAGAGAAATAAAGGTTAGCCTGGCGACGTGCAGCATTATAAATACCCCGGGGTGTCGTCATTCCTTTGGGCTGAATCGGTGCCAGGAGGTCCGACGTGATCTTCACGGCTTGGAGTTCCTGCTTCCGCCCGTCAGTATTTATTAAAGCAGTTCAAGCTAAGTACCTCGTTCAGCAGCAGCCAGTCATACATTCTGAGAAGATTAGAGAAGAATATGTGGCCATTTTGCCAGGATTTGTTTTGCTGTTTGCCATTAATCGATTACCCATTGTCTTGTGGAGGTATCGATGACAGTTACGGCCTGCATGTACACACACCCATGTTTGTATTCATATCTTTGTGCTGACTGTCCATTCATTTCTATGAATCCCAGCTATGACAACCTGAACAGTGCTGATTCATGAGGCAATGTTGGATAAGTTGACAGTCATCACTGACATTAGGAAGTCGCTTCTGCCCTCTACCCGGCTGGTTTTTGGTCATTGTCAGTGTCTCTTGCTTCACCTTATTCTCGTGTTCTGCTGTCTTAGAAACTTTGAGCCCGGAAGCAGCTGCCTCGCAGTGTAGCCTTCTGCCAACAGAACCAGGATTAAACCAGGAATTTAAAAGGCAGATTTAAAAATAATATATAGTGGTCTGTTAATTTTTTCCAGAGCTGTATACATAATCCACAGACACGCGTTACGCATGGTTATGCTCTAAGGTTTTTTCTCTTTACGGTTCTCCCACTGTTTTGTATTATAAAAGTGCCGTTCAGTAATCCTGCGTAGTTTGCTGAGAATAATGGCTTCCGACAGGGCTACGCTTTGCCGGAATTTCACACATTGCCGCATGTGCCAGACAGCTCTGCTCCTGGGCTAAATAGACTCAGGATTTCTGTGGGATTTTTTTTGGCCATTCTTCTCGTTTCATCTCCGCTGTGTCCTGGGTGAGAAGCCAAACCCTCACTGGCCTCTTTTCAGTCGGTCGGGTGGGGGTTGGATTATTGCCCCCCTGTTGGGTTGGTGATCTGATTTATGCAGTCCGTTGAGTTGAGGTCGAAATCCTTTAGATGAGTGAGATGAGTGCAAGGACTGGGGTTTTTTTTTTTTATGTCTTCAGGCACAAACCCATTGTACTTGAATGAAGATCCTGTAGAAAATAAGCTAAAAGTAATGTATTCAAATTGAGGTGTTTTTAAAGATATTCCTGCTATTTGTCATTGTGTAGAGAACTGCAGTCTCCAGCTTCACCTTGGCCTGTGGAGAGGTTACCCCCCCACCCCGTAATCTCACAGCATCCCAGACTGCATACCACCCCCCGTCCTCTATCGAGAGTAGGTACCATCCTGAAGAGCGAAGGATGGAAGGAAACTTGCCCTCTCATGAAATCTCAAACTCACAGCGTTTCACGGCGAGGTTACAGCTGACTGCCATCATCGCCTTTTTCACACCAGCGCCGAAGTCCGACATCAACCTACTTTTGACCTAAACTGTTCCTCAGTGACCCCTAAAATTCTCCTTTTCATTTGGATCCTTTTGCTTCGAGACTCCTGTGAGTTTCGGGCCGGTCCTTTCAAACTGGCAGCTGGGTGCCCCCTCCGGCCCGGGAGCGGGGCTGCGTCGCTCAGATTGCCGCCGTCTGCCGTTCCCGTCTCCTCTGGGCTCCACACTGTCACCAGACGCCTTTCTTCGTTTTGTCGCGACACCCCATCCGGCGACCTGCGCCCGCGTTTGGCCTCGCGGGGCCTCACAGTGGGACAGTCTCGATCCATCCCGAATTTTCATTAGTAACTTCTGGTGGCTCCATGTGGTTATGGGACCGCCAGCAGAAGAGCGGGTTAATCTCCTGCCACCAGCCCGGCTGGGGCACGGCCTGGCACAGCCTGGCACAGGGTCATATCAACACTCCTGGCCGCTCGTCCACTTTGTGCAGTTGGCTGAAATTGCCTCCCTCTCTCTAACGGCATGAGGGCCCTTTTAACTGAAGGTAGCGCCCACCCGCACCCCAAACCACCACATTCCCTCCCTGCTCTGTTTACGTGCCGAGAAACCCGGTGCCCCTCCTTCGTCCTATTAGTTCAAGAAAACTTTGTCTTCAAGTGCTCAGACAGCCTGTGTGTGTCTGGGCGTCTGTGTGTGTGTGTGTGTGTGTGTGTGTGTGTGTCTGCGCGTCTCTGTGTGTGTGTCCCCTACCCATTAACCGCAGTCAAAGAAAGCTTGTATGGAAAACCAGCCTGGCTCCGGGGGGCGCCACTCGCACCCGGCTCTGTCCGCTAATCATACCCCCCCACACCTGGGTAAACAGTCTGAAAAAGAATGAATAAATTAAACAAATTATCAAATAAATACCTCATGCTGAGATTGCCTTACGAAGGTCAAAACAAGTCTGGGGACAGTTAAAAGATAACTGGAAATAGAAGAATGGGAACTTGTGTGGGCGGTGGGATTTGGACTTGGGTGCTTTAGCACTCGGGCCGGGCTGGGCGGAGCACCAGAGACCGCGCCTCTCAGGAAGTGATGACGGTCATTACCGCTATAAAGCATTAGTTATTTGCCGAACGGGTTGCTATGCAATTTTATTAAAAGTGTTTTCCTCCTTACTTTCTGTTGTTTGAGAAACAGTGAGGGATAACGGCCCTCCAGCAAAAACAAACACAACGGCCTTCTTTGTCACAGATACGAGTTGTAATTTGCCAAATGAAAGAAGATGGCTTTTTAATCTCCTGGGAGAGCTTTTTTTTTTTTTGCATGGCTGATTCTTGTACTTTTTCCCCCTGAATTACAAATACGCTTTGTTTTCAAGAACCGCCGCCTTCGATTCTTTGTTCCAAATGACATTCCCCCCACATTCAGCGGTGAGCTCTAGTCTGAAATCTGGCCATTATTGCACAAACAGAGATTGTCAGTATATCGCAGAAGGATAGCCAATGTGCTACAACACATGGTCACTTATTTCCTTATAATCTGTAATTCACTGGTGACAAAAACAACGTTAAAAGGTTGTTAACAACAGATGTATCATTTCAGTCCGCGTTTCCCTTGGCAACACAGACATGAAAAAAGCATAAATGAGTTTTGCACCGCCTGCGATAGAGGAACGACAGCATGCGGCTGCGATAGACGTTTGTTACCCTTCTAGCGATTGTAGGTACAAGTACGGAGCCGCGACCTGCCCTTCTAGTGGTGCTTAATGTTCCCGGGCATTCTGGGTAATCGCTTCGGTAGTTGTCAGCCACACCTTAGGCTAAAAATAAACTTCCCTTCCCTACACATACTACTCACTTCCAAATGGAATTTCAAATGGAAATTAGAAATGCGTCTGTCAAGTATCTGCGCCATCTCATCCACCACTGTCAACAAGTCAACCTGCAGGATCGTCCTTCATTTTAACTGTTTATTAGTGAGCGGGTGGAAAAAAAGCAGGCCGTTTACATGGGCAAATCACTCCAGCTGTCGCTTTGGCAGTCCTCCGCGGGAGAGCGCATGGAGCTCGTGTTGAATGAGTAGGCTATTAGTCTCACTTCTGATACCCAGGACACCCAGGGCCTGATGGGGGGTGGGGGTGGGGGTGGGCGGGGCAAGCGGCTGGAGATGATGGGTGCTTTGGACTGGTCGCCGTGGAATATGCTGGTGGGGCTCACCTCTTTGTTGGGTGGGTTGTAGATGGGCCTGGGAATTAAGCCTCCCTGCTCCTCTTAGGTACGTAGTTGTGTAGCTCCTGCACTGGTACTGCTTACAGTTACGCCTGAGCATTCACTGGCAGCTCAGCCTCGTTGCACTTATGCCTAGATAACTCTTTGTCATCATGTATGTTTGTAATGTGCCGTTTGCCTCACGTTTACGTCAGTCTGGACAACTGCATCTGCTAAATTAGAGTAAATGTGAAAGTAATTTAAGGGAGAGTCCAGAAAAATACACACAGTCCTGCTGGCTAATATATTGCCTGCTGGACTTATTTTTACTGAACTGGCCCAGTTGGCTAGTAGCAAAAATTCACAAGTTCCAGCCCTGGTTGTAAGCCCACATTTATGTGAAATTCTAGGATTCCATAGAGCTCTGTCGGTTTTTAAAAGCTTGCTTGAACATCGATTCTACCTTAATTCCTTAATTTGGGTCAGGCTCAAACCTTCAAATATAAGCAAGCACTTGTGACTCCCCTGCAACACAGGTTATACCCCTTCAGTACTGAAGTAAACATTGTCTCTGGCTATGCTACATGTTCATTTGCAGTTCCTAGTGGTCATCTTGCCCCTCTGAACTTTAGCAGAAAAAAAGCCTTGTTCTGACTCGTCTGTTGCCACGGTGACTTCAGACACGGGTGGTGTTGGAAATGGCCTCCGTTTGGGCAGGCTGCCAGCACTGGGGTAGCTGTCCGAGAACTTCTCCATCGTTTGGAATCAACATTCACATTCGTTTGAATCCAGTGAGGACCAGACTCAGAGCCCTGTCTCACGTGAAACTGCATTTGCAGTCAGTGGCTGCAGGGAGGCTCTCCAGCAGATATGTTCGAAAGGCAACTATTTTGACCTGACAACGTAACCATTTCAAACGCATACTCACACACCAAACATTGAAATTATAGATCCCCCGAGTATGTCGATTGTTAAACATCTTTTGATGCTTGGTGGCACTTTCAAGGACGTGGTCGATGATTCACGTCCCGGGAGAGGTCCTGCTGGAGTGCTTTTCAGCGAGGTACTTAACCTGAAATACTCTGGTCAAACACCCAGCTGTGAACACGGGTATGAAGGGTCTTTGAATACAAGCAGCAGATAAATGGCAGAACACAAAAGCAAAAAAATAAATAAAACATATGCAATATGTGAACAAATTACAAAAGAACTACATATGAAAACACACAGCTAGTCAAACTATTAAATAAATTATAGTGACTACGTAAGAAATTAAGTGCAGAAGTGACAGTTTATCATAGGCAATTACACGTCTTTGCATATCGCACATTGAACAATCGTTTCGATGATACGTGTGAGATGCACCCTTCTTCCGGTTTTTATAACTCTCCCATATCAAACTGCTTTACATGTTTACTACGCGATCTCAAATATTCACAAATCAAAGCTATCCCACGACGGATAGGGAACAAACATCTTTCTTACACATTTACATACACAACACATCCTCCGCATCCGCGGGATAAATCACGCTGCCCTGCGTCGTATTTCTGCAAATGCACATACATATGTCAAGATGTCTCACGACGAATACGTCGTTTATAACAGCTTTTACAAAACATTGGCAGCGGACCTAGGAACAGTACAAGTGATCTCAGCCGTTCGCCGGTTTTTCTAACGGGGCGTAAACCAGGTGGCGCATTAGACGTGAGAGCATGGCTGTAATCAGCTGCTGCTAAATACTTTGCCGAGACTTCTGCCGTGAAAGTTGCCCGTATCCTACAGCAGATCATACGACCGCTATACCATGTGTGCAGATAAAACACTGATCTGACACGGCAAGAGAGCTGATTTATCAAAATCTGTCAGTTTTAATTCTGCAAAACGTATTACGTGATATTATACCTTTTTGAGGTCTAAATCTTGGACGGTGAAGTTAAATTCAGCTTTTGTTGTACGACAACCTAAGACTGATTCGGTTCTAGATGCTTGTTTTAAAACCAACGCACATGTATAGACACATCCAGAGCATTTTTTTTCTGTCCGATATGAACATTTCAAAGGAACTCGTACCAATATCAGGATTGTCAAATTTTACTAAGTCCATAAATACGCCTGTTGATCAATAATATTATGGTTGTTGGCTAATATCAAACACACGCGCAAGTACTTGAACCTATGAAGAGTATGAGATTTCAGTATGAGATTCATACCAGCCCAGTATCTGTATTCTGCCAGCATTTGGGAACCACCAGCCAATCATGATTTATATATAAGTGTTGGGGTATTTCTGCATCACACCAATGCTTCGGGACCTCCATCACCCACTCTGCCTTCATGAGCAAAGGGTAAAGCATGGGCACCAAGCCCGTTATAGATTTCCCCTCATTTCCTACGGTCGTTAAAGAACGACGAAATTAATTGTTAGTCAAGGACACAGCTGACCGATTGAATGGAGGGAGTCTGAATGAAGGTCGTTCGGATCCACTCTGGAGCACTCAGAGCAGCACCGTTTCTCCGTTTAATCATTGGAGCTGAAGCTTCTCCGTCATTCTATTCAGGCTTCACATCAGGTAATTAAGGTCTGATCATAAAACACCGTTCAGTGGCGGACGACGTGCTGGCCAAGGGTCACTCCCCATAATTCTCCATCGCACAATGCGTTGGCGTGGCCGGGGGGGACACGCTCACGTTTTGGCTCTCCATAAACCAGTGTAATGAATGACGACGATGGAGCTTTACCACAATGTAAATGAAGTCGCATCATATGCGATTTAAACAGTGACCTTCTCGTATAACTTGTTGAAAACCCCAACTCTTTTAATCGATGCAAACCAGTGCTGATAATTGTGTTCAAATGTCAATTATGTACCTTACTCTGCCCACTATCCAGTGAAGGCATCGAAATAGGTGCTTTCTACTCAAATACACTTAATTCATATTATGTTGTGCCCTGCCTCATGAACCACAAATGGTAGAGATGCTGGTGACACTATAGCACAAATGGTAGAGATGCTGGTGACACTATAGCTATACCACATAATAGCATTAAACCCCTTCACATTAAGTGTGGGTGGTGATACATGCGATACTTACATACAAATAAGAAAACCGTTACAATTCATGTTGCCGGGAAGAACATTTGCTTAAAGTCTTTATAAACCACAGAAAGATATTGTTTTATACACCACTTCATTGCAAAGAATTCCACAGGATATGCTAATAATCTTTGTATGCCATACAAACCATCTTAAAAAGAAGTGCTAAGAATCTTAAGTTACTGTTCAACTTGTAAGGCTTATACTGGTTAACAGAAGAGACACTTGTACTGGTCCAAGTTTTCTCTGGTCTGATTGACACTCTGGCCGTGAGCCAGTGCAACCAAAATCTGAACCACGATACTTCAAGATTCAATATTTTATTTGCTGCATGAAGTTGGCACATTTTACAGTGAAATCAAGATCTGGCTTGCTCCTGCTACTGTAAATAAACAGTATAGGTAAATTAAACTGAATAAATGAAGTCAAATTGGGGGGGGGGGTGCTAGTTCTACTGGCAGGACTTGTACTGATACCACATCATCAGGGTGTTCAAAAACAAAAAAGTCAAAAGAACCTGGAAAAAATTAAACAGCAGAGGCGATTTCACTCTCTCGAAATACGATCAGATCCTGCCACCTACTGCCGAAAAAGGCACTTGCTTGAGTCAAAAAACAGAAAATCTGTGAATCACGTAAGCTAAACAGTTACAACTAACTAATAAATTAAAAATGTCTGTGTCCCGTGAACCGACGGGAAGATGCGCTGTGTTGTTTGCGGTCTGCACCCCCGTGCCGCTTTTTGCGCGTCACACTTTACCTATCTTTCTCCATCTCCTGTCTTCCTTTATTGTCTCCCTCATCTCTTACTTTTTGTATCTGGGGTTATGTCTGGAAAGCGTAAGAGAAAGCGCATGGTTTACATTATATGCTATTTTATTTTAATGAAACGCCTTTCATTGATCGCTAACCCCCGAACCCCTGTGCCCATCCATCTCCACGGTGACAGGTGAACTCACTCCCTTCCCTCTGATCTCACACCCAGTTAATATTCTTCTTCCTGCTGTTCTCCGTTATGTTCCTCATTCCCGTCCTCTTTCC